TCTCATTAAAAGCATGTCTATCGAAGACGTGGTGGCATAAACAAAAATAGAATAATTTTTTTTCTAAATAAGTGGCAGTGAAGAACAAGAAATATTCAGAACAGCGATAACAAGACGAATAGAATTGCTTTAAAAAATGTTTATGTCTTAGTTTTTTTAACCAATTATTTTTTAAAAAATTTAAAAAAATAAGGGGGAAAAAGACGAAGTAGCGGCCAAATACCTGTTAATCGATGTTTTTTAATTTAAAAAGATGATTTTAAATTTCTTTAATGTATCTCAGAAACATAATGGTTTTATGGTTTTTTTAAAAAAGAAATGTATTCATAAAAAAAGAAAAATTATCTATTGATTTTATCACCCCTTTTTTTAAGCAACGTAAATCGTACGATTCTGCATCTAATTGACGTGCTGCAAGAGATTTTCTGATGTAATACTTGACCAGGATACTTATGTCGCAGAATGCAAATCTTGAATATTATTATATTGTTTTTCGGCTTTATAATTCATTCTTGATGTATCTGCTTGATAAATAGCCAATCAATTTGTAATAAATTAAAATATTTTAATACCCCCTTCCCATTTGAAATTTAGTTAAAATTAGATTTTTTAAAATTTTTTTATACCCCTATTATATTGAATTAACAAACTCAGAAAGAGAAGAGATCATAAATTTCCTGGACACCCAAATTATACCATTGTTGCCTTAGAGTAGCACAAAGGTGGATACTTTCAAAAGAGGGTGGAGAAAATTTGTGCTAATTCAGCCTTTAAATGAATTAAGATCTAAAAAGACGGGTGTATTGTTTTGAGATTTTTTACGTGTGAAGAAATCATTTTTAGAGGTAAATTTATATTGCTACAACATAATCTCAACGAACATGCAGGGCGTGATAGTTTTTTGCTCTAAACACTCGCATATGGTATAACACGCGTGCTGGTTCAATCTATTATTAGTCAATGTTCGGTTTGCCAAGCACAGAGAACTCTAGTTACCCGCCCCGTAATTACTCTTATAATAGCTCAGTTTTACGGGGAACGTTTTATAGCAGATTTTGTTGATCTTAGGTATTATTCAAACCAAAACAGCGGTTTAGTTGTTATTTGTAATGGTTGATCCATTTTCTAAATACTGTTGGACTGCTTCTTTGTTTAAAAAGAGCGCCAAGGCTGTTAGTAATACGTTTAGGATCGCGTTCGGTACTTTTGACTCTCCTTTTATACTTTATATAGACAATGGTAAAGAATTTTGCAATACCGGTGTATCAGATATATGTAATGAATTTAATATTAGGCATGTTAAAGGTAGAGAAAGATGTCCCCGGATTCAAGGCCAGGTAGAGCGATGCAATCAAGCCCTTAAATACATGATAAGATCTACTTTGCGTACAAAAGGTATGGTGGGTAGATGGACAGAAGTTAGAGAGCGCATCACATATTCATACAATAATCTTAGGCATTCTACTACTGCACAGATACCGACAAATCTGGTTTTTGGTAGACCAATTTATGGAATTATAAACCTGGAGAAAGCCAACGAATTGTATAATTTTTCAGAAAATGAAATAGAAATTTTAGACCATGGGAATGCTGCAGAAGTTGAACCACTGCCAATTTTAGATGAAGAAGCGGATTTACCTGATATTTATCGGCACATACTATCTCTTAATGAACAAAACGAAAGTAATACGAATAATTTAAGGCCTATAGCTCGTGAATCTATTCACAGAGCTGCAGAAAGAATAATAAGAAACGTTGGGTGGCGATATGATCGTTTTTATTTTGAAATTGGAGATCGTGTAATGATAAGACCAAGTCTTGA